ATCTTTGCCAAAAGATTGATCTGTAGACAGTAGTGAATAATGGTTGTTTTGGAAACCCTGTGAGGTCAGCATCTCAGCTGAACTACATTATGATCTTTAACTGTCCAAGTAGTAAAGAGCTTGGTTTTCAGTTGCACTGCGGTTAAGGAATACCAGTATGGTTAAATGGTGTTTGGAAGCATGGTTGCTTGTGGTCATGTATCTCTACAAGTAATCTGTCAATTTATGGCAAACCAATGAATTTCACAAGGTTTTCCTAGTTAATGACCACAGTATCATTCACATATATCACTCCCGCCCTTTCCAACATTAAAAAAGTTGCTCAGAGTTGTTTAGGGAAAAGTGATTCTGCAATAGCAACACTGTTTATTGTGTGACAAACATACTTTTCAGTTTCATGTAGACCAGTAGTTCTCAATCTGTGGGTCCCCAAATGTTTTGGCCTTCAACTCCCAAAAATCCTAACAGCTGGTAAACTGGCTGGGATTTCTGGGAGTTGTAGGCCAAAATGCCTGGGAACGCATAGGTTGAAAACTACTGATATAGATAGAGAAGGAGTAAGATTTTTGGAGGATCCTGTCAGTAGTTCATATGCTAGACATGGGACATTGTCTAACAATCCATACACTATAATATTGCATTGTTATATTACCAAGCAGCTGTGTTTGCTAAGATATACTTGCTGAGTGATTATGCTCTAGAAGATTTTAATCTTTTTTCCCTGGAAAGATTTGTCAAACCCCTGTCTTTTCTCTTTTGAATATATTTTGAAAACATTTTAATAATTATGTTTCTGTAAATCCTGGCTTGTTTGCTTTCTGCTTATGATGTTTTTGTACTGCCTGGATTATATTGTATTTTCATTTTAATTCCTGTGTGAAAAACATATTTTGAAAGATGAGACTTAAATATGAAAACAATCTGTGCATTCAAAACAGTTCGGTTGTATATTCATTATAGAGCATCTGTTTACTTTCTTTTTCTTAAAAAAATTCAAACAAAACCACAACCCCCCCCCCCCCCCAATGATTACAGTAAAAATAAATTTCATAGCAACAGAGACAGCAAAACCAATCAAGGAAAGTACAATGTTGGCTTGGCACCATTAGGCTTTGTTTCTAGTACAGGAGTGGACAAAGTATAGTCTGTGGGTCACTTATGGTACAAAATATATCAGTTCTTTCATCTCCATTTTTGTTTTGCTTAAGAAAATATGTTTTGCTGCTTCTGGAGGCTTCTGGGAGTGAGAGTTGGAGGAGTCCCCCAACCCAAAGTCCCTCAAATGCCCTACAAAATAATTCTAAAATTCAGAAATAGACTTCTGCATTTGATTTCTTAGCATTTTGGTGTTTTCTTTTCCTTTAAAGGATGAATCCAGTCTTGGAGGGATTGACCTTAATAAAATAATGATCATCATAAAAATACATACTTTATTTATAGGCCACCCTCTCTCCCTGAGGGGACTCAGGGAAGTTTACGTACAAAAAGGCGAACATTCAATGCCATAGTCAGCAAAAATACACAAGTCTAAACAACGCAAAATAACATCAGTAAACATCAGACCTTCCATATTTCCCCATTCCATCCTAGCAGATGTTTGTTGGAAATTCATGAGAAAGTATTTCTGAAACTGTTTCTCATTACAAGAAATACTGTAAATACAGCTTTAAGATAGCTGGATACGTTAAGTTTTATACTTTATTTACTTATTTATTTCTATCAATAGTTAACTGTTGATATTGTATAGTTAAGTACACTACCCGGTTTCCTTGAAAATAAGACAGGATCTTACATTAATTTTTATTTATTAGGGCCTACATATAGCTGCCTAGACACAATTTAAATTGACTTTATATGAACTGTAACTAGGGCTTATTATTTGAAGTAAGAGCTTGTATTTTGAGCATCCTCAAAAATCCTGAAAAACTCTGAAAAATCATGCTAGGGCTTATTTTTGGGGAAACAGGGTATATCTTCTTTCATTGAATGAAGCCTTTACCAAATATGAAAAGGAACCCAAGAGTAGCTAACCATGTAATCTCTATTGCAACAAAAGCAAGAGGTGTACAACATTTTAAAGACCAACTTCATGTTTATTAAAAAAAAAACAAGAAAAGAAAAGATTATACCCTCTTGGGAATAGGATTTAGGCAATTGCAAGCCAAGTTTGTTGAGGTGTGATCCTGCCTCAGGAATGAGAATTGAGTGAGAATCCCTCATTGTTGGTTGTATTGTTTAGGATGCTAGGACAACAGCATCTGCACAAATTCCAATCCTTATACCGCTCAAGCAAATACACAATTTTAGCATTGCTTGTTCCTGAGTAAAATGCATTGAATTACACTATAGGGGTGTGATACCTACTTGCTTGGAAGAAGCTTCCTTTAATATATTGGGATTTACATCTAAATAAAAATGCTTTGGATAAGACTATACCTAGTACATAGTAGCCATAGAGTATTATGTTATCTGGTTTTCAAATGTAGCCTCTTGTATGGTAATCTTTCATATGTATTCATTAAAAACACACACACTTCAGAAGAGAGAAAAATGTACAGGTTTATTTATTTTGTGTCAAAAGCATTGCATAAATAAATAAGTATAAAACTGATAAAATAGAGGAAACACAAGCAGCTAAATAATTTTAGACCAAAAATGGGCAACAGCAACCTCATTGTCTGTAGCTTTAAACAGTTCTTCCTCTGTGCATGAGGCAGGGCATTGTGGACTAGCATACAGATGCTGAGTTGTTTGTTCTCCTCCACAATCGCACAAGGTGGTGGATTCATCTAGGTTGCCATGTTGTCCTTTCTTCTCACAACACCACTTCTGAGTGTTCAAGGACTTCCAAGTTACCCATTCTTTATTTGCCCCTGGAGGCAGACCCTTGTGGGGGGCCATCAATTTAGGATTTCCTGGTTTAGTTGCTCAGAGGGATACTCTTGCTGTTGCTAGGGGAACAAGAAGAGAAGTGGTGATTCTCATGAAATGTTGCCTTGTTTTGTGTCTACGGGGAGGAGGCTGATAGCCACGCAGTGGATGGCTTTCACAGTGTTCAACTTTATTTCTCTCACACAGTATACCGGTTTTGTGTGCACATTAACAATTGCTAATTGTGTAACTGTCATTACACAAATGTATGAATCCACATTGTTGGAACACTATTAAAAATCAGTTTGCCACACCTCCAATGAGGTGCAGACTTGGTAGAAAGTCTTGTATAAAACCCACAAAGCTTTCATAAAAAGAGAATGCCCTTGTTCTGAGTTGCTGTGCAGCAAGGAATTGACCAGACCACACTTTATTGTTAGAGGCCAGTTTTTATAGCCCAAAGCAAAAACAGCCATTTCCCTAACTGTGCATGCCCTAAACTGCAGAATATATAATAGCTGGTGTGTGTGTGTGTGTGTATACACACACACACACATACATATATACACCAGCTATTATATATTCTGTAGTTTAGGGCATGCACAGTATATATATATATATAAGTCCTGCTTGCTTATCTGTACATAGGCAACGTGTTAGATGTTAAGAAGCAGCATTTGTCCCTGCCAATAAAAATTAAAAGAGCCTGGTTTTAGCATTCTTTGACTTAGGCGATCCCTTGTAGTCCGAAGATGACGGTCCTCCAAGTGATGTGTCTTGGTGGTGGATACATAGGTGGCTGTGGAACCCTATTCTTGACCTGCATGTTCTCCCGCAGTGAGGGCATTGGTTTCCAGGTGGAAGGTGGTTCCCATCAGGGTTGGCTTGATGCCCCTTCCTCTTGGAACATTTCTCACTTTCGCCCTCCATTCGTGCCTCTTCAAATTCTACAGCATTGCTGGTCACAGCTGACCTCCAGCTAGAGTGTTCAAGGGCCAGGGCTTCCCTGTTCTTGGTGACTATGCCACAGTTTTTAAGTTTGACTTTAAGCCCATCTTTAAATCTCTTCCTGTCCTCCAACATTCCGTTTTCCATTCTTGAGTTCAGAGTAGAGCAACTGCTTTGGGAGACGGTGATAGGGCATTTGGACAAAGTGGTCAGTCCAGCGGTTGATGGCAGTTGGACCATTGCTTCAATGCTGATGGTCTTTGCTTCTTCCAGCATGCTGACATTTGTCTGCCTGTCTCCCCAAGAGATTTGCAGGATTTTTCAGAAGCAACGCTGATGGAATTGTTCCAGGAATTGCATATAACATTCAGGGCTAATTGGCAACATCTCTCTAACAAAATGCAGCAGTTAGCACATTCTCAGGACTTGTGAACTACAGATTTCCTAAATGCAAAATGGTTTAATTTAGGGCTAAGCAGCAGATGCAATGTAAGGATATAGACTTAAGGCTAACATGTAACTTATGTGATTAATGAAAATAATTCTGCTTTCAGAAATATTTTTTCAAATAGTGATATATGGACATTGGTGACTAGGTTGGCTTTATTTTTGTTCCCTTTGAAGGAATATTTAGGTTTCCCTGCGTGGTAAGCTGTGAATACGCACATATGGTAATATCTCTGTGCACGTGCACAGAGATATTACCATATGTGCGAATTCACAGATCACCACTTGGGAAACTACGGTTACAGGTAAGCAACCTCTCATTTATCATACTACATGCAGTGGGTTAATCTGCTGAGCTGCTGAACTTGCTGACAGAAAGGTTGGCAGGTTGGAATTTAGGGAGTGGAGTGAGCTCCCACTGTTAGGCCCAGTTTCTGCCAACCTAGCAGTTTGAAAACATGCAGATGTGAATAGATCAATAGGTGCCACCTTGGTGGGAAGGTAACGGCGCTCCATACAGTCATGCTGGTGGGTATGGACATTGCCGGCTCTTCAGCTTAGAAATGGAGATGAACACCAACCCCCAGAGTCAGACATGACTAGACTTAATGTCAGGGGAAATCTTTACCTTTACTAATACATCATAGAATATTAGTATGTTAGAATGGCATGTTATACTGTTGCCTTGATTAACTCATAATCATTTTTTCTCTCTCCCTCTTTCTCTCTTATAGTTTGAAAGATTGCTGTAACCTTTTCTTAATTTGCAATTATGAATGTCAATGACTTTGTCATACTCCCTGGTTCAAAAACTGGAGTGTCTGTAAAACTGAAAGCAAAGTAAGTACATTTCCTCCTAAACGTGTCTCAAGTGATTTTATAATGTTTGTGTTTTAGTACACTATTTTCAAATGCAATGCGAGACTACAATTCTCGAACCACTTTCTATGAAATTAATTGTATTGAAACAAATGTAAATGTGTTTAGAATTGCGGTAGCACTAACACTGTTCAAACATTGCAATATCTCTTTCCTTTTAGCTTCTTAACTTGAAGTCTTAAAATTTCTATAAAATTCCTTAAGGTATAGTGGCACAAACATATTTCTTTCTTGAAGTTGTGTACCCAGAGGACAAACATCATAAGTATAATCTTGTTTCTAACCATCAAAATATGAACTTACCTGTTTCTGTGCCATGCTGATTGTATGTTATGTTTCCATTAAATGGAAGGGGAAACGTATAAGATATCACTGAATTTAGTATTTGAATGTTACCTCTTCAGAAGCATGCGAGAGCTGCAGTTGGAGAAGGTTCACCTGGAGCTTGAAAATCAGGAAATGGAAAAGAAACTGCAGCAACTGCAATCAAACATGAGCAGAGAAAAACAAGAGAGAGAGTAGGTGGAATTTTAAACATTGAAACTAAGGGTATATCTACACTCACCATATACTCCAATTTAAAGCTAGCTTCAAATTGTGGTGGCTACAGTACACACACTGCCAAAGCACCCAGTGGGTTTCCATGGTAGAGTTGAGATTTAGACCCTTGTCTCCAGAGCCCTAGCCCAATATGCAAATCACTACATCATGATATCTCTCTCCAAAATATATGCAGATTTGAGCATCCCATACTCAAATATTTGGGACAAAGTATTATATATTTCAGGATTTTGAGATATTATTTATGGTTGGGGGGGGGGCATTGGGAATACCTTCAAATACATAATGAGATATTTTGGAGATGGTAGTGAAGTCTAAAAACACATTTAATTTTAGCTTCATATGTACCTGTACACATAGCTCAAAGGTAATTTTATGCACAGTACTTTAAATAATTTTGTGCATGAAGCAAGTTAGAATGCAGAAAGTGTCAGTGTCTCAGCCACCAATGTGGACAATTTTGAATTTTGGAGTTTTTATGATGTGACAATTTCAGATAAAGGATATTAAACCTGTACTGTTATGGATTTTTTTTTTCTTTCAAATTGCCATGTGTATGTGTTCTGTGGGGACAATTTTATCAAGATTTGCAATCTCTGCAATATTTCAAACTCAGGAAAGACCCTTTGTTCTAACCAGGAATTAATCTGGATATTACTTTTTGGGGTATGAACTGCTAAGTCCACTATGTGCAGAAATGCTTTTTTGATTTATTTTCTGTATCTACGGTAGATATGGATAAAGTGCACATATGGATCCCAAGCTTCTCCTCAATTTTTACAGCTTTTTATGAACTTTGAAAAGCTCTCCACACACACATAGGGTGTATGTTCACTTTACTGATTAGTTTAACTCAGTGGTTCTCAACCTGGGGTCCCCAGATGTTTTTGGCCTACAACTCCCAGAAATCCCAGCCAGTTTACCAGCTGTTAGGACTTCTGGGAGTTGAAGGCAAAAAACATCTGGGGACCCCAGGTTGAGAACCACTACTAATGCTTCACCTTGGCATAATTCAGCTCAGAGAGAAACATGGCAATTGTGCTTACAGTAGTTAAAAAATAAGTTTTTTGCGGGGGGGGGGGAGCAGAGTGGGTAGAAATATACAGTGGGCTCCAACATTTAGCAGTTGTTGATTTCATTATACAAAAAAATTACCATTTCTTATAAGCAGTTCTTTATACATACCATCTGGCATTATGCTTGAAAAAGAACAACATACATTTAAAAGCATTTTACTCATTTTGAACATGAAAATAGTTGCTGGAGTACATCCCTGTCCCCCCATTGATTCCTAAATCTGTTATTTATAGATTATGCCAAAGCCTTTGATTGCACAGATCATGAAAAACTATTCATCTCTTTAAAACAAACGGTAGTGCTACAACACTTTATTGTCCTGGCCCATAACGCATACTCTGTACAGGAGGTCACTGTCAGGACAGAACATGCAGTAAGAGAATAGTTTCTAATTAGCAAGGCAAGGCTGCATTTTATCACTCTATTTATATGCAGAACATATTATACAGAAAACGGGATTAGATTCAGAGACATGAGAAGTTAAAATTGGGAGAAAGAAGATGAACAGTTTAAATGTGCAGACACCAGTATATTACGAGCAGAAAATAGCAAGAAGTTAGGAATGACTACTGGTGAAATTTAATGAAGAAAGTGCAAAAGCAGAGCTGCAGTAAATTGTTAAGAAGGCAAAAATCATGAGCACATATGTTTTACGTAACTTTAAAGTGGATGATGAAGATGTCAAAATTTATATAAAAAAATGTAATGTTCGTTTGTGGGATTAACATAACACAAAAACCACTGGACGAATTGCCGCCAAATTTGGCCACAAGACACTTATTAACCCAACGAGTGACCATCACTCAAAGAAATTGATTTTATCATTTGGGAGTTGTAGTTGCTGGGATTTATAGTTCACCTACAATCAAAGAGCATTTTAAACTCCACCAATGATGGAATTGAACCACAGGACTCCCATGACCAACAGAAAACACTAGAAACACTAGTGGAGGCTAGGTTGGCTTTATTTTTGTTCCCTTTGAAGGAATATTTAGGTTTCCCTGCGTGGTAAGCTGTGAATACGCACATATGGTAATATCTCTGTGCACGTGMACAGAGATATTACCATATGTGCGAATTCACAGATCACCACTTGGGAAACTACGGTTACAGGTAAGCAACCTCTCATTTATCATACTACATGCAGTGGGTTAATCTGCTGAGCTGCTGAACTTGCTGACAGAAAGGTTGGCAGGTTGGAATTTAGGGAGTGGAGTGAGCTCCCACTGTTAGGCCCAGTTGTAGTTCACCTAAATCCAGAGAGCACTGTGGACTCAAACAATGGTGGATCTGGACCAAACTTGGCACAAATATTCCATATGGCCAAATATGAACACAGATGGAGTTTGGGGRAAACAGATCTTGACAATTGGGAGTTTTAGTTAATGGATTTATAGTTCACCTACAATCAAGGAGCATTCTGAACCCCACCAATGACAGAATTGGGGCAAACTTCCCACACACAACCCCCATGACCATCAGAAAATACTTAAGGTCATCCAGTCCAACTTCCTTCATCAGGGTAAGAAAATGTAATCAAAGCCCTCCTGACAAAGAGCCATCCAGCCATAGATATAGATAGATAGATATGATTCACACACATAGATATAGTACCATAGATTTGAAAGGGACCCCTAAGGAAGGACAATTATATGTTGCATGTTCCAGAGTAGGCAAACCAGGCAATCTCCACATTAACACTGACAAAGAAACAACAAGAAATACTGTTTACCCACAAACATAAAGAAATTACATATATTAGAAACCAACAGTTTCTAATTACTTTATTTTCCAGATCGCCAGACTGGGCCACAGCAAAGCGTGGAAGGGGACGGCTAGTATAATATAAATACACTGACCAATCATAAATCAAAATAGATTGAAGCCAAGTACAGGCAGTCCTCAAGTTACAAACATCTGACTTACAAATGCCTCAGGAGTGGGACAACAGGAAGTGAGAGAAATCTACCACTCAGAAGGGAAATTCACTCCTGAAAAAGTTATCATGGGGAAAAGTTGTCTCTTCTGAAGCTTTAGCAGCAATCCTTATTTTCACAACAAGCCTTTTTTTTCAAAATCCAGTTATCACACGGACAGAAAGTGAGGTGAAATCTTCTAAACAGGGACATAAACAGCAAATCTAAAACCACAAGGGTGTTAAAGCTTTCCTATGCTATCCAAAGCATGCATACATACACACACATATGGCTGGAGGTACACTTATAAAATATACCTGTTTTGAGTTGCATACAAATTCAACTTGAGACAAACCTACAGAACCCATCTTATTCATAACTTGAGGACTGCCTGTGATCAATGAAAGACTAAGACTTTGAAGGACAGCAGGGAAGCAATGAGATTCATGAGTATAAAGATATTAAATACCAAAGTCAAAACTATCCATGTCATAGTACCCTATAAACTCATGTATAAGTCAACTTCATATAGAAGTCAAGGGCAGCTTTAAGGACCAAAATGATGCATTTTTGCTATGAACCATAGATAAAATGAGATTAAAAGATAAGGACATGTAACAAATCTTTTTCTCTTCATTTAACAGAACATAAAGGGAACATACTTTGGAAGAGCTAAAAAGAACAAGATCTGTTTATTTGTGGGATTGCAAAGGGGGGAGGGTTACATTGATGATCTTAAAATGTGTACAGGTATACAAATATAGATAAAGAAAGGAATATAAAGGAGGGAAAATAATAAGAATGGAGCCTGGAAAAAAATCCTAGAGCTGTTTTGGGAGATTAAGGGTAGAGCAGATGCCAGTGACCATTTTTAATAAGGTCTTCCTGTATTAGCTTCTCTGCATAGAGACTGCAGTGGCAATTTTTCATAGGGGCAAACAAGCTTTTACAGACCAAAAAGGGGAGGTGTGAGGAAGGAGGAAGAGCTGTATTTCTTTATTGGGGGGTGGGGGTAGGGGGATGGAGTGGGACTTTCTTGCTTCTGCTTTCCTCACTACCTTTGGTTCTGGCCCCTATTCCAGTATTGTCCTGTGTATCAGTTGAACCAGGATTTTGGGGGTGTTTTTTTTTCTATGTAGTTCCTTTAAAGTTCCTTTAAAAAGTGTTGCTCTGAAATTGTTCTGTGGATACTATGGACTGGATAAAGAAAACATAATAAAGAGCAAATGAAGGCTAACCATCACTAGAAACCAAATGACAAAAGTTATCTTTAAACATACCTTGAATAGATATAATTAATTGGTAATAATCCTTTGTAAAATTGAAGGCAATAGACAAAGAGTAAAAGGTGGCCCCACTTTAAATGGATTGGCTCAATAAAGGAAGTCACAGGCTTGAACTTGCAAATCCAAGTAGGCCTGTGATGACTAGTTCCCTCATCCATAGGATTTCAATAACTCAAAGAAAGCTTGATAACAAATAACAATGAAGTTTCTAGTTTTTGTGCTAGTAAAATTGAAAATTGGTTTGATGGAAATGCTCCTCTACTCCCAGATGTCTACATTTTTTCCTCCTAGGGCTTCACATCTCTAACTACAACCTTTATTTCTTCTGTTGCATTTCTGGTATCAGAATTCAGTTTCAAGTACCTTCTCACCCACTGAACTTCATTTTGCATTCTTTCATAGTACTTCATTGTTCATGAGAAGGTTATTATCTTTTAATAGAATCTCAGTACCATATGAGTGCTAAGTGCATATGCATGCATTTACAAAAACACAAGAAAGTTGTAATTGCTCTGTATTTGATAGACTCCATTTATGAAGTCAGACTGTTTTGCAGACAAAGCACAACCTTGAATATCTGTAACTCTTCTGCCTTCTTTTTTGAGAGTTACGTTATTAACCTTTCTATATCTGTTTCCCTTTCCCTCATAATGTGAATAATAATGCAAACTTTCCTCCCTCAGAAGAGCTTTGTAAGGGTTTAGTCATTAGTGTTCTGCTGCACTTAGCAAGATATATAGTTCTATTTAAGTGTTAAGTGTTGCTAATTGTCTTGGATCATAGCCATTAATTTCTACATCCTTCTCTAAGAGCATTTAATGCTAGATTCCAGCTCTGAGAAGTGGTGAGGATCCCTCTGTCTGTTTTTCTTCTTTAAATGATGCTTTTAAATTTCTAATCCAAATAATTCGTTTGTTGTTTGCTTGCTGAGCAAAAAGTCCATGCTACTAGATGCAATTATGATTTCCTTGATTGCATTTTTCTCGGCATGTTGACCAAGCCTGCAGTGTCTCAGTTTTATGGATCCTGTAACCTGCTGCAATCCAATATCTTTAAACTACACTTCCCATATGAAAGTATGACAGGGGTATCAGAATATTTCAAACTGGGTAGCCTGATGTGAACTCTTCATATGATTCTATTGTTATTTTACAAAGTGTCAAAAAGTTTACATGGTGCTTTACATGTGTTGCAACACTTCCACTATAGGTTTTAATATTATTAAAGATAAACTTCTTCCTTTTTTAATCAACCGAGCATATTCAGAATTTTAGAACTAGCAGATGATTGCAGGCTTTGTTCCAGACATACCAAAAACATTCCTGTAGTGTTATCTAAGTTCACAATCACATGCATTAGATCAAGTCCCCATTCCTACTCCCTGACATACAGGAAAGCACAATCAAAGTACCCTCAACAGATGGCTATCCAGCCTTTGCTTAAATGGATGAGCTTCTACCACACTCTGAGGCAATGAGTTCCATTATTGAACCATTCTTATAGTTGGGAAGTTCTTCCTCATGTTCATGTAGAATCCATTTGAACCCATTGCTCTGAGTCTTAATCTCCAGGCCAGCAGAAAACAAGCCTGTTACTCCCTCTTCCTTATGACATCCTTTCAAATATTTATACATAGTGATCATGTCTCCTTTCAACCTTCTCTTCTTCAGTCTCCTCTCGGACTTCTTTTCTGCATCCTTCTCTGTCTTTTTTTAAATAGGAGAAAAGTCTCTTCAGTAGTGGAAATAAAACAAGTTCTTAGAATAACTTCAAATGAATGAATGATTTCCTCACACCTCCATGTATGTCTTGGGAACTTTCACTTTCAACTCAGTTTAGTTTGATATCAATCTAAATGGTGAACATTCTATTTTTCACCTTCTCTATTCTGTTCTTTCTATTTTAGCAAACTTATTTTTGGTATTGGCATGGCAAGAGAAAGTGGAGCTGTAAAATCTCTTATTAGTACTGTAAATTTGTGTAAAAATACTTTTTCTGCCTATTTTTTGTAGACAAGCAAATAAATATCATTGGAAGTCAGGTCAGGCTGGTGTGAGTTTACAACCGCAGCTGTTGTCACAAAACAAAGAAAATGTTGGAAAGGTAAGAACGCTGTTAGAAATTCGATAAGCGATGGCACTACTTTTTCCACATTGGTGGAATTGCATGATCTGAGGGGCAAAAGGCCATATTGATGGCAGGAGTGCTTCTGGTAGGGTCTCCTGTGTCAGGCTTGTTTAGTCTGAGGAGATAGGTTAAGCATTACAAACAGTTGCTGAGCAGCAGTATTGAGAGGTGACACTTGCAGAGGATCTCTCAGACACAACAGTAGTAGCATTACATCTAAAACTGTGAAACGGGATAGTGCTAGAAGATGAAATTGCCAGGCCAGATTCCTTTTAGCAAGCTACTGGGATACAGCAAAGAACAACTGTGTATAACACAATGGCTAATAACACAACGGGACTTAAGCCAAAAGAACATTGTGCTGTTAACAGTGGTGAAAGGAAGGTCTGACTCTGCTCTGCACATAGAAACATGGAATATGAGAAGCACAAATCACAAGATGCTAGTTATATTAAAATAAGACATGGAACATGTAAACATTTCAGGACTTGAGGTGACCAAACTAAAGTGGACGGGAATGGGACATTTTGAGTCAAATCAATAAATTGTGTTTTACACTCTGGAAATGAAAATCTAAGAAGAAATGGAGTGGTATTAATAATGAGGAGAGATGTAGCAAAAGCAGTCAAAAGATATAATGCAAATCTGACCAAGTAATATTAATGAGGCTTAAGGGAAACCCTAATCCAAGTCTATGCTCCAGTGACAAAGCCAGAAGAAGAAAGAAATTGAATGGATCTGTGCTGTAGTCCAGGAGGAAATTTATACACACCAAAACAGGACTTCTGTTTAATCATAAGTACATGATTCCTTGCAAATGTGATAAACAGTAGTCAAAGATTGTAGGCAAATTTTGCCTAAGATCAAACACGAAGAACGAGAGTGATTGTTTGAATTTTGTGAGTCCAACTGTTTGTTCATTGCAAACACATTCTTCAGTCAACCAGAGGCAACTGTATGGCAAATAGAAAAATTGAAACTACATAAAACATACTTTAATTGGAAGCAGAAGATAGAGAAACTCAATTCTTTGCAGAAACAAGACCTTGAATTGCTGAAATAAAAATTAAAAATCAGTAAAAGCTAAAGAAGAACACTAAATAATGTGGAGAGAATGAATAAATATATACCAGATGTTTTATGTAGTTTCAATTTTTCTTAATTGAGTTGAAGAACTCTAGTTCCTGTCAGACTCTAGACTGAAGCCAGGGGTTTACCAGCCCTGTATAGTTGTCTACCTAGTGGAATAATGTGCTAGATGTGTGGTTTTTTATGTACTGGATATATTTTGTACATATGTTTTATACATATAAGTATTCTGTGTGAAATATGTGCTACTTAATTTGTTTTCGCTTGGATACATACTTCAACTTTTATGCCTATTTTGAGGTGAAGTAAAAAGTCAGTATGGCTAAAAAAAAAAATCAGAAATAAGCATAAGCATAATTCAGGCACCCTGGTGGCACAGCAGATTAAACTGCTGAGTTGCTGAACTTGCTGACTGAAAGTTTGGTGGTTTGAATCCTGGGAGTGGGGTGAGCTCCCGCTCTTAGGCCCAGCTTCTGCCAACCTAGCTGTTAAAAAACATGCAAATGTGATTGATCAATGGGTACCACCTTGTAGGGAAGGTAATGGTGCTCCATGCAGTCATGCCGGCCACATGACCTTGGAGGTGTCTATGGACAAAGCCATCTCTTATGCTTAGAAATGGAGATGAGCACCAGCCCGCAGAGTCGTACACGACGAGACTTAATGTCAGGGAAAACCTTTACATTTACTAAGTATAACTCAGTGTTTTGATGAATCTAATTTAAATATTCTCTATTAAAAATTCAGGTTTCTTCAGGAAAAGTAAAATTGAGAGTCCTCAAAGAACAAATTCAAGGTAATGTGATCTTGATTCTGGAAAACTTCTTGGCAGGGGGTTAAACTGCATGGCCCACGAGGTCTCTTCCAACTCTGTGATTCTATGATTCTATGATCATCATGATATATTTGAAATCAGAAACTGTTCATTTCCATTTTGGTTTTGGTAAATCTTTGAGTAACAGTTAAAATAATTAATTTGGGTCTTAACATATGAGAGCCAAAGAACTAAGAAACATCCTGTAAAAATATTAATCACAATAATATTATTGACAGTTGACAATATATTTATAAAATAACAACCATAAGATAATTTTCACAGCTTTACATGAGCAAAACTATACCATATTAAAAGATTCATTGTGTTTACAATTCCCTATAGAGAAATTGCAAACTGAGATTTTGGTCACCTAAGTGGAAGGCTTTTATTAAACAGAAATGAGATCCTCTCTTCTTTCCAGTTTTATTTAATGCTCTGGCTAGAATATGAACTATTTATTTTGCTTTTCTCAATCCACTTGTGGGACATGGTTAGTTTCAGTGTAAAATTTTAAAGAACCTCTTTTCTGTCATTCTCTGACAATGCCATGTACTATGTTGCCTGCAGTTTGACTTCCATTGCTTAGTTTTTGCTACATTTTCCAGTTCCAGAACCGGCTAAACAGACACCTGCACATAAATTGGTGAATGTTTCAACAACTGAAAAGCCTAAAATTAAGGGAAAGCCATGTGGTCAATGTGAAATGAAGGCTGCACTATTGGTAAGTAAGTAAAGAAAACAAATTAAAATAGTCATATTTCAACTTTGGACTGAAAGATGTAGGGGTGATTGATAGAAATGATACAAAAAGCTCAGCTATATGTCTAAGTATCAGGCTTTGTATTCGGAATATTTGTAAAAGCCATCTCAGTATTACTGTCATAATAACAAGTCTTGAACTAGATTATCTTCCATCCATTTTAGAATATCTAAGATATTGTGAACAACTGCTACTGCAATTCGAAATAGGTCTAAAATAGTGAGAGAACTTGCTGCTAAAAATATTACTCATGTCAGATAGTATGTAATTCACAGAAACAATTTTGCTAATTACTAGATGAATTAAAACACACTCCATTTAAGAGCAGTTGTTTCATAACAAGGTATATTTCTTGTGTAAGAATAAAATCAAAACTATTCCTTACACATAAAGATTGGGATTTCGGAAATAAATGTCATAGAACTTTTGTCAGATTTTAAGAACATCTTAATTTCAATGTTTTATAAGCCAGAATGTTAGTGATTATATCTTGTGCACTCCCTTCTTTGAATTTTATTCTGCTTTCCTTACATCTGTCCATTAATGTCATTCTTTATACCAGTGAAGTTCCTGACAGTACAGTAAGTTATGCTGTGTAGAACATCCTGAACAACACCTTTCCCTGCTCTGTCTCTCTGCTCAACTTGGAACAGTCTGTTTTCAACAGATTAGATAAGGTCATTCACAATGGTTTTGCTCCATTGCAGGCAACCTTTCAAATGGGTGGTTGTAGGTTTTTTGGGCTATATGGCCATGCTCTAGAAGCATTCTCTCCTGACATTTTGCCTGCCTCTATGGTAGGCATCCTCAGACGTTGTGAGGTCTCACAACCTCTGAGGATGCCTGCCATAGGTGCAGGCGAGACGTCAGGAGAGAATGCTTCTAGAGCATGGCCATATAGCCTGGAGAACCTACAACAACCCAGTGATTCCAGCCATGGAAGCCTTCGACAACCTTTCAAATGCCTGTTCAGCATAGTTGTTACACTATCAAGCATAAGTGATAACTAAAGTTAGAGAGCCACCTTACATTCTTTCAGTACAGTTGAGTTTTTCAAACCAATAAATCAGCTTTCCAGAGTTCTCTGATTTCACACTGAGTATTTGTTATCTTTCAAACAAAGTCTCCCCAAGTTACCATTGCCTCAGCTGTTCTAATTTTACATCATTGATGTTAGCAAGATCTCTGTGCTATACAACTGATTGTATTCCACATTTCAACACTTACAGATGACTGCTGCAACCAAAGATCATATGGGTTGTGTTTCTCCTGTCTGAAATGCTTGGGACCAGGATTATTTTGGATTTTTCTGGATTTTGGAATATCTGTCTGCATGTAATTTTTTTTAAATTCCTGGTTTCAACTGCCAGCTTGTACTGTACTTACCTGCCCACACAACTGCATGTCCCTAACAGTCACAACTTCCTTTTCTCACAGCCCATGCATCTTCCCATATGCTGGGGAGGGGTAGGAACACCATTGTGTAGTGGAAAGTAGAAAAAGAAAATAAGTGTTCGGATTAACAAGTCCCTTTCCCACCTAAGACACATCCAGCCTTTGATGATGACCATGGCAGTGGCACCACCATCACCAATACCTGTGTCACCATCACTGGTGCCGATGTTGGTATTATTCTTACTCTCCCTCATTCTCATTCCATTCTCATTCCATTCATGACTTTGTACCCTTGGGTGCTGCTAAGAGTATCACTGTAAATGATGGTGGTGAAGCAGAAGAAGCTCCAACAGGTAAATAAGTGGGGAAGCAAAGTGTCTGGTTTTGTACTGCCACTGCATCATCTCAGCACTGTAGGTGTGGTGAATGGTTGTGGCTTTGATGCACTGTCATCATGACTTCTTAGCTCCACTGCTGCCAATTACGGCAAGGGGGGATGAGGACAGAGGATGGGATACTGGTCTCTGTAGAAATAAGGAGAGGTGAGATCATCCCTCCCTCCATTCTTTTCTTCTCCCTTCCCTGTGACATAGGCAGGAGGAAGAAAGGGATGTTCAACCTGTTACACTAAGGACATTGGTGTTGTAATGGATCACTTAATGATCTTCCATTATTTCCCAGAAACCAGCACAAATTATTTGTTCTCACAGTTTTATCAAATGAGTTGTAAAATATGTAGGCAAGATTCTGTTGAGTACCTATACTAGCACATTTATGCTGATGTAGGATGTAGTACTATATCAACAACAGTAGAAAAAAGGTCATGGCCACAGTGGCCACAATATAAGGAAATTTGCCTGCCTTGGTGGAGGTGGGGTTTTCTCAGAGCTCAAAGTACTTGGAAAGACTGGCTTGCAAACCCACCTCTCATGTAATCAAATTACATTGCTTAGAAAGTCCAGGCTTAGTCTTGCTCAGAATAGTTCACTGAAACTTAGAGTAAATATAGTCATGCCTCACTGAGGTCTCACTGATTGTATTCTGAGCAAGATGTCTTGATCCGAGCCATTGATAACAAAAGTTAACATAAGTAAAACAAGCAATTCACCCTTAGTTTAAAAATTAAATAATAGAAACATAGAGTTGCTATACAGGAATTCAAACAAAGCACTCCCGACAGATGGCCATCCAGCTTCTTTTAAAATCTGCAGAGAAGGAGATTCTGCCACACTGAGGTGGCCTATTCCACTGGCAAAGAGATCTTACCCTCTGGAAGTTCTTTCTAATATTTAGGTGGATTGTCTTTTCCTGTAGTTTGAATTCATTGCTCTGTGCCTCTTTGTACCTAATGTCTGATACCGTGTCTTCATCTGTTTAAAATTCAAACTGGCATTGCCACAAACTTTCTGCAGGCGGATGGAAGCAATGCTTTTCTTAATAGAAATGAGAATGTAATTTGTTTTCTTCCATTTGGGGGTCAGAGAATGATAAGCAATCCTATACACATTTTCCCATTTAATTCAATAGTGCTGACCTCTTCGAAGACGTGTGGCCTTGCTCTGTTGCTTTTATGTCCTTAATTCCTTTTTCTCTAGGTGTGCTTGGAGTGTGGAGAAGACTACTGTCCTGCCTGCTTTGCCAGGGTACACCAGAAGGGGGCACTGAAGCTCCATAGAACAACCTCTATCAAGGTACGCCGTCTTTTTTCCCCAGGTCCTGTTCTTATAATCGTGAAACCTTTCCCTCTCAAGAACATTAAGCAATTCTAGCAGCTCTCTTTATTGCCATATGTAGAATGTTTTTGTTAGGATGGGATCATGTTCTGCATTTTATTCCCACTGAAGTTATTTATATAGAAACAATCTGAGCACAGCAGAGAGGATAAACTAGGAATGAAAGTCCAAATTTGCATTTTAAAGCTCCCATCCTTATTCAGCTAATGCAAATAATTATCATTGCTTGTGAATGCTTGAGATGACTATGTTTGTGTTTGCTTCTACTGTATGGTTGCAGTTCTCAGGGAGCAATCTTGACATCTGAGGATTTTGTCACAGAGTGGCATAGCAGAACAGCAGAGATCTCTTACACATAGTAAATTTTTCACTGTGCTAAAGAGACAAAGCTTTGATTCAGTTTCTGGGCTTCATGTGTTCAGCTAAACCATTTATGGATAGGAATTATGCTCTTCTCCCGATTGTTGAATTGTACTTCCAATCAACCTTAGCCCTGAAATTCAAGGAACTAAAAAAACATCTAGAGGGTTGAACAATTATAACTGGATCTTTTAGGTTACAATTAAGCACCTTTATGAGATTGATCATGTAGACAAGACACCAGTACTTTTGAAAGTGTGGAGATTTTGTGGTCTCCCTGTTGTGCCTCATCCCCTCCTCCCCCGCGATTGCCCAATCAGTCAGCATATAGCATTAATTTATACACAATATTTTCTTTGATATATTGAGGAATGACCTTAGAAGAAAGTTGGATACATTTATAGGGAGGGAATCTGTTACCATCTTGTAAATGCAATCGCTCCATGCTTTTGAGAAGGCATGCCGCTGAATAGCCTTTGCTGAGGAGCAATGGGAGAGACATTGTTCAAAGCAAGATGCTGGGTTCAAAGTGGGTTTTGGTTCTTATCAGTCTGTACTGCAGTCTGTAATTGGCAGAAGTACCCATAATACCAGTCCATCAAACATGTCTCAAATATGTCATAGGCATTGCTAGATTACATGTGAATACTGCAAGAGACAGTTATGATGTGCTATTGAGTAAAATGTTATATTAAATATATATCAAACCTGAAAGACTGCAGAGACAAAAGTTATCAATAGTTAGTTCCAACTGGAGTAGGCCCATTCTGTCAAATGTTGAATGGTGAGTCACACGTAAAGAAATATAATGGATTCAATGAGTCTATGCAAGTCAGCACTGAAAGAGAATTTAGACCAATGTTTGTAACTTAGGATGATAAACCATAGGCTAATGGCAGGAAAAGCTTTAAGATAAAAACATATCATTAACTGAACTATAGCTAAAATTATAGGAAAGAATGGTGTGTTATTTGGTGGAAAATTGGAAACTGAAATGCAAAAGTCCTGTTATGTAAAGGTCTTAACGTAGAGATAATCAAAGATATTTAATATCTGTCTACATTGTGAAATATTCATTTCCTTTGAGCAGTGAACATTTTTTTGTGTGTGAAAGGAAATTAGGATCCTTGTTAAAAAGAAAATGGCAACAATCAAGGGTAGGACAAGAAAAAATATAGAAAATAGGCCCCAGGTTGGGTCCAGACATTGTCATGATTAGAATGGAACCATTCATTTCAGTAAATATTATAAAAGTGTGATTAAGTCCAACCCATTGTGCAACAGTGAAAATAAAATATTAAGATGAAACAGATAATTGTGAAGCCTGAGCTGTGTTTGTTTTGGGAATACATTTTGAAACTTTTTGGATTTTAGATTTGTTCACTCTCTCTATCCCCCCACCCCCATTTACAAATAATAACTATTACTTTTTAGCGATGTCACCGTGTGATCTGACTGGAGGCTTTAAGTCAGTGGTTCTCAACTTGTGGGTCCCCAGGTGTTTTGGCCTACAACTCCCAGAAATCCCAGCCAGTTTACCAGCTGGTAGGATTTCGGGAGTTGAAGGCCAAAACATCTGTGGACCCACATGTTGAAAACCACTTCTTTAAGTTATTGCTCCATCCTCCTTCCCAACATTTGTATTTAATCCCTCTTTGCTTATATCAGACTCATATCAATCATTTCTTGAAAATATCGTTTCAGATATTTTCACTTTTTTTGGAACATAAATGAATGAACATATCCGTGAGGGCTAGCTACTTGGCCTAAAACTGATTCCTGTACTTTATTTGCTATTTATTGCTAGAATCAAATCCTCAAAAAAAGTAGCTAAGGATACTTGGATGCCTGTTGCGAAGAATGAGAACAGATGTACAAAGATAGAGAGCCAGAATCTAAAAGGCAATGGAGTAGAGAATGTCAGATGCTGAACATCCCAAGCAATGCAATGCAAAGCAATTAGACTGCCTCTTTATAACATAAAAGAGTATTCACTAATTCCTGCAGAAGGGTTAGTGGATTTACATAGTGTGTTACTTCGGCTGTTGATTCTGCTGGAGCATCTGTTTGGAGTAGTGCTCTCAGAAGCATAGAAGAGCAATTACTAGTGGTTCAGGTACATCATCTGCCTCATGGATATGCAATAAAAGTCTCTCTCTCTCTTTTAAGTGCTGCATCAAAGAAACTGCATGTAGAATTGCTTCAGATATTCTCAAGTTCGTTTATTTGTGTGTGTACATGTGCAGAAAGTAGCAAATATTGTAAAAAGATACTGAGCAGATATACTTTGAAAAATCCTGTTTGTGTCACTGATTTGACAGAAGCCATAGTTTGTGGTTTGGGGATGTTCTGTGTGGCCATACTCACTCTTTCACTTAACCAGTTAGTTTCTTTCTGGGTCAGTCTGACCAAAGTTAGTCATGACATTTGATCTGGCACACTGCAGTGGGTTTGCCGTCCAGATCAGCAAAGAAAATCCCTCCTTGAAACTGGTTTCTCCAAGCTAGTTTGAAGAGTGCAAACAATAAAATATATGTAGTGCCACATGTAAGAAAACCAGGAATTAAGTAATTGACTCTTAATGCCTGAAAGGAGGAAGAAGTGAGATGAAGAGCCAACTGTGATTTGGGGAGATTGAAAATATAGCATGTGAATAAATGCAGAATAGAATAGAAGTCAAGTACAGCCAGTCTCCAAGTTACAAACAAGATAGGTTGTGTAGGTTAGTTCTTCAGTTGGATTTGTATATATGTTGGAACGGGTACAATGTAATTCCAGCCAAATATATTTATATAAGCTTTAGATAGCACAGGGAATGGTTAAGACCCCTGTGGTGTTTGTTTTGCTATCTGTGCCCCTGTTCAGAAGAGTTTATCTTGCGTCCTATTCATGTGATAATTGGATTTTGAAAATTTTGGCTGCCATAGAAAATGGAGAAAATGCAATGATATTCCTCCTTTACTTGTGTGTGTGTATTTATTTCAGTGTGTGGGTTCTTTTTGTCCATAGACAACGACACGTGTGCCAATTGGGAAACTTGAAGCTGCACAGAACTTCCTGAAAACAACCGATACTGAACAGTCCAATGGCGGGATAAATAATGAGCAAAATAAAGAAACCAAGGATATGTTAGAAGATACATTACACCTTCCTTCACCTTTACAAAAAATGCCAACATGTAATATTGAGGTAATTTGAGACATCTATTCTTAGAGATGTTGAGCACTAGAAACCTTCTGTCATATACATTGTCAAAACTGACCTCATAATTCATTTTGTAATCCATTTTAGGTTCAATGCATCTAATTTTTAGGAATAGGGCAATTTTTTATCCTGTATCTGAAGATCTCTATACATATCTGGATGAAGTGTATTGTTTTTAGTACTTTTAAGTGTTTTGTTTTAATATTTAATATTTTAGAATTAGTGTTTTGATTGCAAATCTGGTTTAATTCTTTTTGAACTTGAATACTTCATATTGCTTCATTATTCTGTTTTTAATTTATATTGTCAGCTCCATTAGAGAGGGGGGTTTATAAATTACATATAGATACAAATATATAGAGAGAAAACAGTTTTGTAATTTAATCAAAATTAATTTTTGAATTGAATTCAGGAAGCTTCTAGAGTACCTTCTGAGATTAGGTCTGACAGCCAGAGTGGTGGGTCTTTATTTGATGGTACTTATGATGAAGAAGAATCAGCAAAGTCTTTTCAAGAAGCTCTAAATCAGTGGAGAAATAGATGTTCTTCTCAGAAATCTAAGGAAGAACGTTCTTGTCAAGTTGGTTCAGGTATGGCTTACTAATTGCTACTTAATAATGGAAAAGAAAGATGAATCTGCTTTATTAAGATACACATTCAAATGGTCAGTAGGAAAAAAATGGGATAGTGTTTCAGTTGTAAATGTTGGCAACCATGCACATGTCATATCAATATTCATTTTATGTCCCAAAAATGGCGAAACAGATATATCTGTTGTAGTGCATGAAAATGGTGATGATATTACACTAGTTTTCTGTGGAGATACAGGGAGCTAACATCAGTATGTAGCTTCTTTCCACAAATTGTAGTATCGTGTTCATAAGAGTTATATTTTGTGTCAGTAAATATTACTACTCTAAATTACTTTCTTTGTGAGTGTTTTATTCCATTTTTTTCATTGCAAAAATGTTGTATTTGATATAGTGAGATGGAGTCTTTGGAAGTTTATACCAATACAGCTTGTTAGTCTTTATGGTGCCATAAGACTTTTTGCTGTTTCATTACTTCTGCTAGAGTCATAGAGTTATTTGAATGGTAGTTAATCCTTTTCTTTGTGTTATAGAAAATTCAGGTACTTGTCAGGTGCAGACAAGTCCTCCACTTGTGAAAAAACCTATTGAAATTGAATTCAAAGAAGATAGTTTGAAATATATGGAAAGATTATTGATTAAGAAGCACAGAAGGTATTCATTGGATTTCTGAAATACATGAGGGAAATGTATTTTCTAATTTAATTGCCTATTTAAGATAGTATTTTCATAGGAGCTATGCAATAATGTATGAAAGTACTCTTTTCCAGTATTACTGGTGTAAAACGCTTATTACAAATGACATGATAGATGTCATGAAATCTCATGGCATTATGTTACCAGCATAATGTGATGAAGAACTTTAATATAACTAGCAAGCAATTGCAGTGGATTTCAATTTGTGTGTTAAGTAGAAGAAAATTATTTGAATGCATTTTTGTTGTTATTGGGAAGACCTATAGGTTTCTTTCATTCTAATATAGTTCAGTACATTCTGATTGAAACCCAGTAAGAACAGAAACACTCTTTTGGAAATAACTGAATACTGAATAGCTGGAATACTGCCGGTAAAGACAAAATTGCTAATGAAGTATAATAAGACTATAGTTCTTAGCACTTCCTTTTTGCTTTCCTAGAACTCCAGTTGATAAATTACCAGATAGCATTATAGCAGATGAACTGAAACTTGAAAAAACATTGCCAAATGAAACTCCTGATAGTTGGGTTGGAGAAGATGAAGAAGACGAAGATGAAATAGCAAGTGTACATTTTGCAGGTTGGGAAACCTTCTTGGTACATTATAGAGCATGCAATATTCTTCAGCAGGCAAACATTTAAAGAATTCAATTTGTTAATTGGTCTTTGGAAGGGCAGTTTGTAAAACAAGAGTAAGCAGTGCAACACAAAGATTTGCGATGGTATGGAAAACTAGAATGTGGGGCTCAGCAATCATACAGCTGTTTTATCCTTTGCCTAGACAAGAAAAGACAACCAAACATTTCGCTGAGCCTACCCTAACTAACCAAAAATGACTGTATCAGCTAGTCATGAGAGATGCAGTATATAGAAAATTGTCACTGGGGATCTATAAACATCAGCCTGATGTTCTGTTTACATACCAGTTCCTAGCAGAAATAGAGGAGAGGAAGTGGAGTCTTATCTCACTTAGAATTCTGAAAAAAAGAGAAAACATCGGCAGAAGGAAAGGCCTTCTGGATCTTCTAATATCCCAAATCCCTGCAAATTGAAAGAAGAGTCTGCTTCTCCAGCTCCCTGCTGGTTTAGATCATCACTTAGTTGCACACAGGTTTGTTTAAGGAAAGATACAGCAGGAGAGGGCCTGTTTCTCTCATCAGAAGTAAAAGTCTGAAGATGCCATCTCACCTCACAAAGACACTGGTGTCTAGAGAACCAGCCAATAATATTGTGGACCTCTAATTTTGATAACACTGAGGCATTGTTTGGGGAAGAGGTGGTAGTAGATGGGGGCAGGGGCAACCTTTGGCTCTGTATATTTTTGGTTGGATTTTAAATACCATCAATCTTAATCAACACACTCAATGATTATGGGTCATGGGACTTGCAGTCAACAACATATTGAGGACTTTTCCAGAATGAGATAAAAAAAGTGCTCAAATTGCTTTTTTCTGCTTTTGAGAAGATACTTAGTGGAAAAAATAGATCCCTGTTTGCCAAATCTGTCTAGCTGTTAAGTCATGGGAGACCACTGAATTAAATAAGCTTGGTGCTCTCTTATAGGAATCTAAAGGATATTCACAAATTTTCTTGTCCTCACCAAACAAAAGTGTCTTGACATGAAGGGACACTCCTTGGGAAAAGCATGTCACCACCATGACATTGTTTGTATTTTATAACTTTTTTTGTAAAAGATTTGGCATGGTTATATGCAAAACCATGGTATATTATAATTGAAAAATCTTGCTAAGTGAGGAGAAATGTTTTGATATTTTTACACTGTCATGTGCAAAATAAGCCAATATTTATATTCATAATGTCCGTAGATACAGCTACATATTCCGGGGGGAAAGAAACAGGTTTAATATAAAACTGGAGTATTCTATCCAGGTTCATTCTAAAAATATTGCTTCCATCTCCACTTTTTAATTGCTGACCTGATTTCTATTCCCACACCCCTTCCTGTCAAGTTATACTGCTATAGTTATCACCTTATCCATATGGTTCTTTGCATTCCAACATTTTTCTGTTCATGAAACCATTACCAGGCAAATTATGATTTCACATAGAGATGTTCCCATTGAATGCCAAGTATATCATCCTAACTATTCCAGCTGTTCAATCCTGTAATATGAGGCCAAGGAAATCTTGCTTTGCGTGCATCTTTGGCAAGGTGAAATTATTGTCAAAATCACTATACAGCTGCACATGAGCAGTTATTTAGTACACATGCAAAAGATGAACACTTTCAGGACTTTTTTTATTATAGCTGAAGAAATGAAGAAATATTGGACAGATGTTTTTATAAAAGAAGAGCCTCAGATTGACCTTGTGAATTCTGAGCCGTCTTTGAAAATCAAAATTCTTGAAGATGTAAGTATATACTACTGTTCAATCCCATAAAGGTTTTATTTGTTTGTATGTGTTGTGCTTAATAACCATCAGACTATATCTTCAATGGAAATGTTTGCAATGTTATTGTCCACCTATACAATCCCACTATGTATCACAATGGCAGTTAATTGACTCTATCACCAAGTCACGTCTGACCTATATTACAGTATATGATTGCAGTAACACCCAGAAGGACATAATGGGTGGTGAGAGGAAAAACCTCCATGAATTCAGAAGGACTGAACTGTTTTGAAAGAACAGTAGCTAAATGATGAATGCATTTTTTCAGCATTTATAATTTGTATGTTTTAAAAATAGTCAAGGTGGTTAGACATGATTTATGTTTTTTATTCAACCATTTCGGAGCTGTTTTTGTATGAAATTTCTATATTATTACATATAATGCATTACAATGTGGCAGATTTCCATGGATATTCCTGTATACCAAAAGGTTAGCTAATACTATTTTGAATCCAGAATCACCCAGGTTTCTTGGTATTTTGGAATGTGCTAAATAATGTTAAGGAAGATAATATATTTCACTTTCAAGGGCAAGAGACCACTATATACAAGATTATAATACAATAATATAAACCATAAGCATGTTTTTCATATATATGCTATAGTCATAGAACATTCAATGTATAAACAAAGCTTGTCGAAGATTCAAGGTACACTCAACAAAATACAAGTCTCTAAACCAAAATCTTCCTTATATAGGAAAGACAGATAATTCCTAAAGCAGACTCCAAAGGAATATGATCAGTGTATTATAAACAAACATACACATAGAAGGCATCTTTCTAATAACCAAGGTTTGTGAGTCCAATATCATACAAAGTTCATGTTCCACACGGAGGACTGTGTAAACCACAGATTGTAAATGAAATTCAATGAATCAAAGTTTGTAACTCCTTTTTAAACCCAAAGTTTATAAACAGCGACCAGTTTCGACTGTGTAGAGCCGTGATGGCGAACCTATGACACAAGTGTCAGTACTGACACGCGTAGCCATTTCTACTGACACGCTCCCACCGGATATTATTTGTTTATTTATTTTATGCCATTTAAAAAAATAAATAGGAAAGACATTATTATTTTGCAATGTTACCTAAACATTAAGGAGTTTCATATTTAAACTGAATGATAAATACTATTACTTTGCTATATTATTCAAATATTAAAATGCATTAAATTAAATGTCAAATTTAAAAAATATTTAATTATTAATATTTAGGTAACATTGCAAAATAATATTGGTTTATTTAATTATTAAGTAAACGAATATTATTTTGCATTGTTTCCTAAATATTAAGGAGTTACATATTTAAATTAAATTAAATGATAAATAATACCTTGTTATATTACTCAAATATTTCAGAATGCCTTAAATGAAATGGTAAATTGAATTTTAATTTGACATTTAATTTAATGCATTTTAAATATTTTTAATATATGCCTATATATATATATATATATATATATATGCCTTAAATGAAATGGTAAATTAAATATCAAAATATTATTTTGCAATGTTACTTTATTGTTATTGCATTATTATTATTATTAGAAATACATTAAATAGCATATTAAATGCTAGAAATACATTTAAATTAAATTAAAAATAAATAATATTTTGTTGGGTTTTTAAAATTATATTTTTATTAAACACTCCAAAAAGGATATTATTTACATAAAGAGAGGTAGAACAACATGATAAGAGAGAAAGTGGGAATTACAATTATATATTTTTTGTTATTTAAACTAAATATTGCGAAATTATGGTTTTTTTCTTGAAGTGACACACCACCTGAATTATGCTCAGTTTTTTGGCGAATTTTGACACACCACGCTCAAAAGGTTGCCCATCACTGGTGTAGAGTCTTCCTCAGGTAGTAGCAGCAATGATGATGATACAAGCAGTGAAGTGATGGTCCAGTGGGGCTGAAGTGATTTCTGCCTCACTGAAATGGCTGAAAAATTGTGCTCTGTAGGTTGGGGATGGAGTGCATTGTCACATCTGGCCCTGAATTAACAGGCTTATGCATAAATTTATATAATGAGTAGACATGTGCATAATTTTTGAAGGTTTTGTAATTTAGAAGCAAATTCGGAAGTTTTGTACATCCAAAGCGATATCTGATACATTTGTATTGCCTGCACTAAAAACTTTAGTATCAAAACTTACCCAATACATTTTTGTTTGTATTTTGTAAATCTCGGAAGTCTCCTTCCCAAAGTCAGCTTGATCTTCTTTTTCATGGCAAGCAAGAAAAACAAAGTGAAAAAAAGCTCCCATTCCTCTGTAAATTACTGTCCTCTTGCCATTAGGAGCAGGAAAGGAGGGAGCAGGGCCTTAAACTACATTTCCCAGAATGCATCAGTATCAGAAAGCCCCAATCAGGATGGGGGGAGAGATATTTGTCCCTCCGTAACAGCAGCCAGCCTGAGTTCCAATAAATTGTTGAATCTGCAAAGAGTAGGACTGATATTTCTAGTAAATATCTGTGCTGGGTTGGGAAGAAATCCTAAATGGATGTCCCTTGGGGTCCTTTCCAACTCAATAGGGGAAGCATATTCATGTTTTGAGGCTGGTTGGCCATCTGTCAGGAGAGTTTGGATGGTGCCCTTCTGCCTGGAAGAAGGGGGTTGGACTAGATGACCCTTGGTGGTCCCCTCCAACTCAATGGGCAAGCATATTAATTAGTTTAGAGGCTGGATGGCCATCTGTCAGGGGGGCTTTGATTGTATATTTACTATGATTTTTGTTTCTGGGTTATAATTGTCAGTTCCTAATTGGTTCTATCCTAGAAGCTTGGGGAAAGTTTATTAAAATGCAAAAACTTTGTCTTTGTGGGAGGGACATTGTGCTATAGGACATTTTGCTTTGTTGAGTTTCCACCAATTTAACATAGTTTGTGCCACAAAAACAAAGTTTCTGAAGTATAATATAAGGACTAGACCATTAAACAGGAAATAATACTTTCAAACTAGCAACATATTTTCTTTATTATTAAAAAATGTTGTTTATAAACACTTTGAAAATTCCACAAAATCTGTGGATAAGTGAAACATTCTGAAATTTGGTGGGCTAACAGAGGTAATTGTGTTCTATCATTGTATCAAGTTTCACCCCCATAGCTTTCGAAATGAAGGCGAAAGGAGCCCCTGAAGTTTCCCCAATTATAGTAATGTAATTATGCTCAATTTACGATAATGAAATAGTAACAACATTTTCACTTATACTGTAGAAACACTTTAGAAACAAAGTGTTAGCACCACCATTTTGTAATGACTTTTGAAACATTTTTTAAATCTATCATACATCCCTAATAGAGACATTTTTTCTTCTTAAGGCTTACCAAGAGGAGACAGAAGAGTCTACTAATTTTGTAGTAATGGAAGCTGGATCTGATGAGTTGATTGATAGCAGGTAATTGTTCCAGTCTCCTCCTCCTCCTCTTCAATAATAATAATAATAATAATAATAATAATAATAATAATAATTTGCAGCTTCTTATCTAAATGTAGGTACACAAATATAGGTTGATATGCATCCTGAGTTCTTTCTTTGCCCTAGGCTTTTGGGATAGATATATATATGACAATACCATACCCAAATTTCATGTATTGGAGTGATAGCCAAAGACTAGTATAGAAGAGGCAAAAAGGTCATGATTTTCTGGGCAGTGTACTTAGAATGTTTAGCCTAGTTTTATTTTTCTTTTCTAAACAATGTAGCTTACATGTTTTACATCATAAACTAATTTCTTTTTAAAGAGAATAATATTTCTATATTCTCTTTTAAAAAGAAAACATTTATTATCAATATTCATGGAGTACAAATACAAAATTAGTTATATACTAATCAAAATCATTTATATTATTACAAAATGGGTATGTAATTGTTCATATAGAATCAATATTAACAGTATTATAAGCCTTCTGAAATGTAGTTGGTTAGAAAGGTAAATAGATAGATATACCTACATTCTGTTGGCCTTTCTCATTTGTGGATTTGACTTCCATAGATTTTATTAAAATATTCTCTTTAGAAATTTCTGAAGTCCTCCAGTGTCAGTCTATGATTATCTTCCAGCAGGAGTTGATCAAAGAGTTGTGTTAGATAACCTAGAATTCCTAGAGAAGTGTTTTCTCAGATTAAAAAAGAAACATATGTGTTTTTTTTAAACTCTCAAAGGGGTCCTGTGCCCCTAACTCCAATGAAGGGCTAACTGTTGATATAGATACAGTGTATTCTATCTATGAATGCAAAAGGAAGATGCTTAAATGTGGCAATCTGATCATTTTTCTCTTCCAATTTTTGTCTCATATCTCAAGTGGTGCCATGTCAAAAAGCCATAAAACTGAACCAGACATTTTTCTGGCACAAGCTAGCAATATTACCACAAGGTCACCTCTTTCTTCTTCAGTAAGAAGTGAAAAGTGTTTAACTTTTCTTCATAATAAATGTGAAGAAACTTTAACAGGTAAGCTTATAACATTGGTTTTCATTGTTAAAAGAGGACTTGTGTCAACATTGCCTTTCCAAGTGCATTTAATCTGAATTTGTTCACAACTTGCAAGCTCAATTAATGTTTTAGCTCCTGGATCCAGTGCTGAGAAGCATTTTTCACTTATATCTGAGGACATGTCTTCACAAAAGCTGCTAATGTGTCCAGTTGAGAAATGGGATATAGAAGTAGAAGTGTATTACTGGTTCCTAGAAGAGACAGGAACATATCTAGATGTGTTTCTGTTGGATATATGGGTAGAAATACAAATGGACTGAGGATTATGGTGAATTAATGAGAAATAAATAGATAAATGAACCAACACATAGGCTTTAAGAGTTTAAGATAGTTTTATGTGACCTCAACCTATTTTTTTTCTTACTAACCCTTTAAGAAATTTGTAATTTATAAGATAGAGCCTGAGGGAAGATAGAAACCTTGTCCTCAGTTGTCCGTGTAATTCAACAGTTTCAGCTTATGATGTAGGCTGTATCTGCCTAATAGCTGCTGTGAATGCCGACCCTGGTTTTATATGTAAGCCAACATTACTGGTGTGTAATTTGCCTATTTTACAGTAATTATTTCAGAGACTACATGCAAGGATTTAATTGATACTGTCCCACCCCTCCACCCCACTTTGCCCACTTCTTTAGCAAGAACACCTTTTTCTCAGTTTGAAAGAACTGAAGATGCTTGCGGCTGTTCCAGTGCAGAAGAAATGCTTCCCAGCACCCCTTTAAAAAGAGCTATAACGAAAGAAAAGTGTGCCAAGAAAAAAAAGAGAAGCTCTTGCATGTCATCTGAGCAAACATTTAGTCCTCTCAAATTGGCTCCTGCTGAATCTTTTGCTGCAGTGGAATTGCCCAAGGACTGCAAGACACCCATGGAGTTGAATGAAGCTTCACCACTTGCTATGAAGTCCTCAGTGGTAAAAAGAATAAAAAAGAATTATACTGTTACTTTTCTGGGATGCATTAAATCATTATTGTGGCACTTTTTCTTGCAGTAGTAGAGTACATCTTGGGCTTGGAGTGGCATGCTGCGTTTTCAGCCTGATCTTAAGAATTAGGCCATATTTGTTCCAAAGGAACCCGCAAATCCTTTTATCTCTGCAGTCTTCACAGGGCGTGTGGAAGAGGGGTGTCAAATAGGACAGGGCATGACGCAAGGGGAGAAAATATTCTCAAGTCTCTGAAAAGGCTTTGAACTGTAAGCATGGAGGCAAAGGGGATGGAAGCAGTGACTCTATTTCGTATTGTTTGTCAGCATGCCCTGTCTTTTCAAGGATCTTAAAGGAGGTAGAACAGAGATACTGTCCCATTTTTATACACGCTGGCTTTTGAAAAGGTGCTAGAAGTGATCACAAATAGAAAAACCCATTGCACAGGTTTATCCAGCGTTCACATATTTTTCTCAGAATGATCAGCTAAACATTCACACCTAACTGCAACAGGGAAGAGCTCCTTGCCCCACCCCAGCCATTCCACAGATATATAAGCCCATTTTTCCTACTTCCAACAGACCTTCTCAACCTCTGAGGATGCTTGCCATAGATGCAGGCGAAACGTCAGGAGAAATGCCTCTAGAACATGGCTCTATAGCCCGAAAAAACCCACAAGAACCTAGTGATTCCAGCCATGAAAGCCTTCGACAATAAATCCCCACCAAACTCAGTAAACTGAAGGAGGCATGCTTGGCTCTCCTCCTTCCCCACTTTATTCCCAAAACAGCACTTTGAGTTAGGTCATGCTGAAAAAGTCTACCTAGGTATGTTCTGTCTGGGTGGAACCACAAATCTATAGGTGAGATCATTAGGAAAAAAATCAGATAAATAATCTGCTCTACTGTTCTCAGGGATCCCCTAGCTATCCAGGTGTCACTGGAGTGCCGCATTGACCAGTGGTGAAAGAACATGGTCAACATCTGGATGGCTCAGATTTCTTAGTTCTGTATTGCTTTTCTTCTTCAGAATTAGCCCTGACACAAAAATTGTCCTAAACTTTATAATAATGCCTCTTTAACCTTTGCACAAATGTAAAAATTAAAAACAGAAGCCACACTACTTGTTGTCTACTTTAACCTTTCTGCTTTATGAGACTTTTTTCCTTCCCTTAAATAGATAAGATGAGGTCTTATCCAACTGTTGAGGAGTTTGGAATATTATTAGGGACATATTGAAGAAAAGCAGGACAACACTGTTTGATGCCCAAAAGCAATTCCAAATGTTTTAGTACAATCTCTGAAGATATAGGTGGCATTGAATGTATTACAGTATTCCCCCCCCCCCCAATGTAAGGAAGCTTAGCATAGCTGTGGTTTTCCAAGTTTGTGACCTTTTAAATTATATATACTGTATATTTCATTTTTATACACAAATTTCAATCTGTGCAACTAAGCAGATTTCAGTATCTTGACATCTGCTGCTGAAACTTATGTGACATGTGAAGAAGACCAAGACTATACATATGATATAATTTAGCCTTTTAATATCCTTATGAAAACTAAACAATATACTTAATGTTGAAGCTCTAGATCAATAGTGGCATGTTATACTATGCTTAGGAGCTGACTGTCATCCAGGATGTAAAACTGGTGTTAAACTATGCAAATCATAGAAGCTTTGATTTTAAGTTTGCTTATCTGACAGAAGCCCTTGAAAAGAGCAGCCATATTTAAAGATCTGAAGAGATATAATGCAGGAGATCAAACAAGTTACAAGAAAATAAATTCTGCCTGAATATTAAGAAGAACCTCTTGACTCTTAAGAGAGTGTGACGGTGAAATAGATTGCCTTGGAGAGCAATGGACTGCCCTTTTGTGATGTTTAAAAAAAGATTGGATTGCCTTCTTTCAGGAATGTTATAGTTGTGTATTCCTGCATGACAGGGATTGGACTAGATGGTCCTTTTTGTCATTTCCAATTCTGCAATTCTATAATTCTAAGTTAGATTAAGAATGCATTGAATTTCCTCTGTACTAAACAAATCATATGAAGCGATGCTCAAGCTAGTCTTTTTTCAAGAAGTCTTGAAATATGAGCAAGTAGTTATTATTTCCATGTCCACCTATGGATGGCTTGACTCAGAATATGACAGTTGGATGTTTCAGTAGAATACAATATTACTCAAAGTTAAGGCAACAAAACCTGGTTAGCCCTAACCATGATTAGGTTGTCTTTCTGCACCAAGTGGCAGAATATTTCACATTTTGAAAGATAGAATATGCTAGCATAGAGGTGGTCAAGAAAACCAACTTTTCACCCTATGTGGGCTGTACACCCCAGCATGTCAAAAGACCCATTTTCCTTTGTTTCTACTCCAAAATGGTGTAATACAACTTGCTGGAGAGGAAATTTGGATAGGAAATTGAGGGGGAGTGATTCTGAAGGGTTAGCAAAGGTTTATTCACATGTCTCTGTGCATTAGAAAGGATAAATAGAAAACAAAAAGATTACCCCATGAGCAAAAGTCACATTTAAAGTGCTCTAAAATTTTAAGTGAATTTGAAGGTCCTTGTGGAACTATCTCGGAGGTCACATAATGTCAGCATGGGCTGCACTTTTTTCTGGCCTAGCAGAATGTATAGCAGGTGGCTTTACAACTGTTTTATATGTTATCTTTTCAATCTTTGCTGTCTTAGTTCTTAAAGGTAGCCCAGAGGGAAAAGCCTATTCATCATCCATATCAAGGACTTGAAGGATTTTTTACTGTGGGTACAAGCTGCCAGCAGGTTATGATGGACTCATTTCCTTCTCCATATATAGGGAGGCATTCTACAAGCAGCAACATTTCATTCTCAGGTATAGTAATAATCTAGAATGAAATTTTTCCAGTTGCACATACCTTTCATCTGGAGCACATTTACTTTAGGGCATGGTAGCCTTAGCTACATATTTAAGTACAGAGGAGCATCTCTATCTGCATGTGTTTTGTCTAGGACATTTTGTATCAGTGAATTTGGCATTAATTGGTGTAACTGACTTGCTGAGAAAAGACAAGAAAAACTTACAGCAGTAAAAGCAAGGAGACAAAATATGTCATTCCTTTATGTTCAAGTTGAAAGTAGTGCCATGTTATACTTAATTGTTTTCAGTCACCTGCAGATTTCTTGATTTTTCTTTGAAGCTAAGCTTTGATGAGACCTGGTTTCTTTTTTAAGAACAAGGTGCATCAAGCTTTCTGGGAAATTATTAATGAACCATTAGCAGGGATACATTAATTGCTTGGGTAAACAGCCCAATTGTTAAATGAAAATTAATGAGCTAGGTACTTAGCCATCTTAAAACAAATCTGTATTTTGTTTTTGTGTACCTTTGAAGTTAAAGTTTGTGTAATACAGACTAACCATGGAATGGACTTCAGGCTTCAACTAAGCATGAAGAAATACATTGCATCTGCATTCTTTGACAATGTGAAAAATTTGCAATTCTATAAACAATTGATACTTTTACCATTTGCCTTTAGAAGGGCAACATTTTATTTTTTATTATACAGCTGAACAAAAAAAAATTCTTGGTAGCTTGGTTTTTAGGCCTGTTCCTGGTGTTATTTGGGATGCTGATTCAGAAAGATGCATCAGATAGATTGCATCACTCTATTTCTTAGATATGGTGATCATGATTTTCTATGGGCAAGCAAATGGTGACAGGTAGATGGCATATGGTCTGTTTTAGCCACTGTTATTTGCTACAGAAAGCAACAGGAGCTCTAAAAATAAACTATTCAGACTCTTCGTGACATCACGGACCAGTCCACGCCAGAGCTCCCTGTCGGCCGTCATCACGCCCAGCTCCTATTAAACAAGTACTAACTAATTAGAACTTGTTTAATATTTAAACTAAGTGCCTCCAAATAATCAACAAAAATGTAGTTGCATACAACAAAAGATTAATATATTGAATGAAAGTGTGCATCCTGTATTTCTTTATTGGCCTTGGGCAACTGATTTCATCAGTAGATGACACATGTAAATGTGGAAACTGAAAAATTTCTTCATTTGGAGTCTAGTTGTTGGCACCTTCTTCATCCCTTCATATCATGTTGTTTTTAAGGTAACAGAGTGAGTGGATTGGACAAGAGAAGGAAAACTCTAGTGATACTCAGAAATACTTTTGCTGGAATTGGCAACGATGTCAAATATTCTGGGTTGATTTGTTTAAAGACAACTATATGCTGTGCAAATGTAGAAAATGTTTAATTAAGCTGAATATTCAAGGTCTTCTTAATTGCATGTCTTTTCAACTTTAGGGATGGAAAAGTGGATGAAACACTTAAGCTTAAGTGAATGTGCTGATGAGTGTGTTGTGCAAGATGTCTTGAAAATTGAGCAGACCAGACCATTAAGTAGATGCGGAATACAAAGCCCAAGCCCTGGAGCGTCTCTTTCAGTCTTATCCATGGGTTAGAGTACTGCTTGTTTATTGTATGAAAGCAAAATGCAGAACTATCCAGGGACAAATCTATCATTTGACGCAAAGGTTTACATGCCACAACAGTCCTTTCTTAATATACTATCTTGCAATCTGGAAACTAAAAGTAATGTGGCAGAATTTTTTTCTGAATGATCCATTCTGAAATGTCATGTTCATTGGCCTAGCTTATTCTTGGAAAGTTCAGTACTGAACTATAGCTCTACTCTGTTTTATGAGGAACAGTGTCATCAATTTACAGTGTTCTGCACATTTTTCGCATGGTCACAAACCTGGTTACAGCAATGATTTTTGCTACATTGTCCTACTTTCCTGTTCTACTATTCTAGAATTGAAGTCTCTCGCAGCATTTTTATATGGTGACCCTGTGTTCTCCCTCTATACCTGGTATATTTTAGGGCACAGTTTTCTCACTCAGTAAGTCTTCCATTTACTTAATTCACAAGTATATCTTTCCTCAGATTCCTGCTCATCTTTGAGAAAGAAAACAGGGACAAGCTTGTAAGAAAGAAGTAGTTATCAACAAATGTGTTACATTAAAAATGTATATATATTTACAGTGAACACATACTCTGAACATGTATTTTTGTGTGGCCCAATTAATAATAGAGACTAAAATGGAATAATCTGGAAAAGGAAATGTGTAGGTTGCCAGAATCCTGAACAGGAACCCACCACACTTGAACATCCTTCTGTGGCTATCATTTATCTCTTTCAAAACCATTGTGATTGAAATATTGTATATTGTTCAATAGAAACTGAAAGCTGTTCAAGAAACTGTACAACACTAATGACAAATTTGTCATCTATTCTCACCACAACCAAATTTGTTGCATGTGCACGTACGTACACATTCCCAGATACCCTTTTGCCGCATTCATGCTTTATACTAATGTGTTGAAGGGTCCCCTGAAATATTGTTTTGACTTGTCCAGATTACTTTTGAGGTTGCTAGCTTTGAGAGTACAGTGCTTACTGCACTTTTTGAGCATGAGACATTTTATCAGAAATTAAAAATGAACTAGAGCAGAGTTATGTATAAAAGGAAATATTAAAAAGTTACTAACAGCAGATCCTCTTTCATGCTTACTTCAGGAAGTGCTTCTCCGAGACCCTTTTCTGCAAACATTCCCATTAAGTACACTTTTTGTGCTTCTTCAGTCCTTGAGGCATGGCCCAAAAGCCCAGATAGCTTGCCTTTATCTCGAGCTGCTTCTGAAATTTCTGAAATTGAAGGCATTGATATCAGTGAGCATGATGATCCTTCTTGGGAGTACAGTATCGATCAAAAAGCCTTAGCAGATTTAGCAGATGAATTGCAAAGTAACTCAGGTAATTATGTTTAAATGTACATCTTGAAATGTTACTTTGGTAATACGGTGTTCGTGGGGGGAATACCAATTCAACAAGTTGTATTGCTCTGAGCAAATACAGCTCCTAAGCATCAGGAAAGTCTAAGGACTTTATTACATGAAGCTGCTATCCCACAACATTTGCACATTCAGGAATAGTGACAAGTTATTGGGATGATTACTTCCACCATCACACTTGTTTATTGTTGCACAGTTGTAACAATTCATTGTTTTGTATATTTCCTGTTAGGAATTAAACTCTGTCTTCCTGCAGTTCTGCTGCTCCATTAAGGGTTTTTTTTCAACTATCTTACAAGTGATTTCACAATAATATTTTTCAAAAAACTCTTTAAATCAATTACTTCAAGGAGGAGAGTGGGACTGCAGGACAGTCCTGCTCCCTGACATCACTTCTGTGCTGGCATGCCTGCACAGAAGAAGCTGGGCTCATTCTGCAAGACATTGCCACAACCATGTTGCAATTGCACACTATTGATGGATTTTCCCAAAAGGATAGATTTCTTGCAGGGAGGGCAGATTGGCAACCAGTTTTTCATGGTATTGTGCAATAAGAACCAAATGTGATGGCCCTCCTTCAATGCCAGTTTGCTGCCTTTATGCAATAAAGTCTTAAATAAAGCCAAAGCCTAGACAGTTCTACTTCAGGTTTTTGAAGGATCATAAATATAAATCCTTCAATATATGTAACCTTTCCAAGCTGCACAGCAGCTGTGTCTTTCTCTGTTAATCTATGCAGCAGATAGGGAGAATTGCAGGATCAGTCAGGGTGGCACAGTCATTTGATAAGGATATTGTGTACAGCCTTGTGCAGTGTGATGCTTCCTGGTTTTTATGCAGTTCTACTGTCACTTCCAATTTAGCACTAAAGTGCTGAACTGGCAGCGTGGGCTGCTCCCGTGAGAATATAATAATAGAGGCATTTATATACTACAGACTGATACTGCATTGGAGAGCTTCTACCAATATTTCAAGCTGGAATATTTTTCTCATTTCTGAAATACATAGTTGTCGCACATTGATAGATTCCTCATATTCTGCGAGAATTTCATTGCCTGTTTCTGAATCTTACAAAATTTCAGATCCTTGGGAAAAACTGAATGGCTTAACCTCTGATGACTTCAACAGACATTCAAAGATGACATATCAAAACCTTCTTGATTTCCATAATAATCATGAAATAAATAACTACAGCAAAGGTGATGCTATAAGGTAAAGTAACCTTCCTATTGAATTCAAACACACAAGAAATTGTAAAAAATAAAGGATAGCATTTTACCTTCCATGTAACACGAAAAGTATTTTGTATGTGCCTGGTGTTTTAGTGCAGAATTTTCTCTACAATGACTACTCTCCGTGGTTGGCAGATGAATGGTGGTGTTCTGTAGGTTAATTTATTTTTCCTAATTATTGGCTAATATAGTTTGTTTCCCAATTATTAGCTCATCCGAGAAATGCTTAATTATGCAAGGTTTGGCAGCATTAACCTTTTTCAGTTTTTGTTAAAAATAGAGTCTGTCTTCTAATAACAAATCAGCCAGTTTTTTTTCAAAGCCTACAAAGATCACCACAAGCCCTTTTTTCTGCGTCCAGTCCTTTGTCTGCTTGAGTTACTTCTTACCAACCTCTCACATGCCCATGACAACATTCCACAATTATTAGGAAATTACTAAGTTATTTTTATACAGCACATAATAATTCTTTGTTGGATGCCTCTGAATTAAAAGGTCTCTAACAAAATCTCATGTGTTTATGATTAGGGAATTTCTGTGGTTGTTGCTCTGTCTGGTTTGTAATGTGAATTCAACAGCTGCTGAAAACCACTTGTGATTTAATCTTGTTCCTGTTGTAAAGCTGTTGTAGGACATAAAGGTGTCATTCAGAATTTCATTGGTTTTAAAATTGGAAATATAAGATATTGGAGCATGGGAGAAATTTAGATTGAGATGTTAAGGATTTTAATCTTTTCTTCCCATCTCAACCCTGAAAATAAATCCTTACTTCTTAAGCTGTTATTGGTCATGGGAGATTGCCTCATACGCAAAGGCACATGCTGGGCAAATACTGCAGATTCACGATAGGTGTCAGAGCTGTAGAAATGTTAAGCCCTCTTCCTCTCATATTGTGGTCCTAATCTTGAATCCCACCTCTAAGTAGTACTCCTCCCCTTGTGGTGCCCACACAGTATTGACTTTCCCAATGCTGTGGTTGTTGCAGTCCTTTTACCCCAGACACTGCACCACCACCTATACTACTGCTGCCATTCAATAGTGTCCTTCTATATTTTTATTATTTTTTTTCTCAGTAGCAAGAAAAGGACTGCCTAGTGACCAGGAGGTCTGATGAGTCACCATCTAAAATTAATTTGCATCTTTTGGGATCATTTTGGTGGATAGCCATTGATTGCATGATCTGTACCAGTACAAGCCCTTCAGAAAGAGCAATGATTACATATCTCTTCTGGAGCATTAATTAATATGTATTTGCATTTTTATCTTTCTTACATTTTTGTTTTCTGAGATCCTGAGCATTTGTAATAATGTTTCATTTCTAGAATGTATGATGAAAGCCATACAGATGATGAGGAAGACCAAAGGGACAAGCAGGAAGTGACAGAATTACATTGAGAAGAGAAAATGATTACAGAAAGAGGAATCGTAATCTGATACAATTTTGCATTTCAGTCATCAGGCCAAGGTGTTGGATTAACTAAGTTTGAGAGAAAATTAATCTCAAGTAATTGGATAAAGTGCATGTTGCTCCTGGAACAAAATAGCAGCAGCATCAACTACAACAAAAAGAGTGGATTTTTCTATTTCATTATTCTGATGACCTCTTCTTGTAAAAATCAGTTAACCCTGTATAAGCTGGGTAAGGAAAGAAAGAATGTTCATCCAGAGAAGATTAGCGGTTGTGAAGCTTTCCTGTTCCTTGAGATAGCTGTCTGGATTTTGACCTGTTATTTGCAGCTGTAACTTGTCAAGTTATTGGTGTAATGCAGTAGATAAGTGTGCCGATAAGTAACAAGTGAACATCTACAGTTGCAGTGCTTTCCAACCTCCAAGGACCTCATCAAACTAGAGAATAATTCCACTTTAAATCCGGTTGCTGCCTCCTGCAGAATTCTGGGGTTTGTAGTTTACGGAGGAGCCTTTGATTTGGAAACAAGCAAAGTATTCCTTTTGAGGACTCAATTCAGTTTTAAACCAGATCCTTGAAACTTTCTTTAGAACTTGTGGATGGGATAAAGGAGAAGCAGTATCTTTATAAAACAAGTAGTGGTTAAGGACATAATACAGGACTAGTCAACCACTTCAGGCATACATATTGTTCATGATAATGGACAGTTGTTTCATGAAAGACACAATATTTTTTCTTTCCTTAATTTTTGAGATGTAGCACTCATACATTATAGATCTTACAGTGAGGCCAGCCAGATCTCTAGATATCTAGTGATACATCACTGTCACATGTCTTATTTTAAATTACCCTTTATTTATTTTACAGAAAGAAACTGAAATGAAATAGAAACATACGAAAATATAATAATACATAAAATATCAGCAATAAAAAGAACTGAACAGAAACTGAACAAAAAGAGAACTTAAAAAGCATAGCTAAATCATCAAATTTAACCAAAACTCAACTACCAAAAAACATCATTTTGAAATAGTCGTATTTTCACCAAACGAAAAATGTCAGGTTAAAGACACTAAGCATATTTTTGGAGCAGGATTTCACTAGCTATTTATCTTATTAATTGTATTTTTACAACTGCGTAACATCCTTTCTGAAAATACATGCTTTAAAGTAAAATTGTACTGTAAAAGCATATCAATATAGCATTACATATAAAATAGTATAAAGTATTGTTTAAAACAGGATAGTTTTATTTTCTCTGAATGTTACTGTATTACTATGGGTCCCCCTCTAGTAGCAATGTCAGAGACCATGGGCAGTTGTTGCAAAGAGAATGTGCTTAGATTAAACCTGTAGGTTTGAGGAAATGCACATACCTAACTCACAGACATTTTCCCTCCTGCTATATTGAGCCACTTGACATTTGCTGTAGAAAGTTACCTGTAACATTTCCAGCATTTTTTCTGCAAGATTGCATTGCATTGAAAATTCCTCATTAGTACTGTCATATAGCTCCACAAGCAGGCAATTCCTGCCCAATATACCCCTTAAAAACCTCTCAGATTCAAAAGTCATTGTTATAAGGGCTGGGGAAACCATTAAACCATTGACTTGGTATATGTATTCTGGTGCGTTCATATGGCCTTTTAAAACACATTTTTGGAAAGTTCCTGGTGAAATGCACTTTTTTCATTGCAATCCATTTTCTGCCTCCCATTAATCATATTTAAATTGCAGTTATATCCAACTGTGTAACTAACAGATACCTTCTTGTTAGTCCATTAGCCAGCTCTACTTCTGTGTCCTGATTATGCTCTATAGAAAAGAGGTCATGGTTGGCTATATGTGGTTGGATGCTTTATAATAGGGATGTACATTTCTGGAGTGGTAAGAAGCCACTTTTGTCATCCAGAGACCTCTCAAGGCTACAACTGCCCATTTTTTTTAAAAAAAAGCCCTGACCTCCCCATGCTGTTTTTTTTCTCCAGCATGAAAGTGACCTGTATCAAGCCACCATCAGCCTGTGAAAGGCCTGAGATAATAGTTTTTTTTTTTAAAAAAAAAATACCTTTTTTAAATTGATTTTTTTTAAAATTAAGGGTATGGAGAAAGGATTACTGGGAATTCCTGGTGGGCTATGTTGTGACAAACTTTAAAAATAGATAAGTGAAGCCTTGTGTGTGTGTGTGTGTGTGTGTGAAGAGAAATCCTTCAGAATTGTAAGCACAGGTAGTGAGAGAACGTCTTTATCTGCTGCTGTGTATTTTCCAGAATAGAGCATTCACTATAAATTGCTAGGGCTTGGAATAATAGAATGTTTGATCTGGAGAAGCATTTCTTCTTGACCTCAATTGTAGCCAACAGTTGGGCAAGTTAGGATGCATTGTAATAGAACTCATCCTCACCCTCTATTGGTAACTGATGAAACAATTCATTAATGGAAATTACTACCAGCACCAGAGAGTAAAGAGAGTAAAGGTCCCTTGTTTATCAAGAAACAATAGGTCAAGGAAATCCCAGTGCAAGTCTATTATTGTTGATGTGATAGCCACACCTATTTTAAGTGTTAGCTGTTCATATTAGAAGTCATTGACAATCACCTGATACCACAATCACCTGATACCACCACAGTGATTGTTGGAGGGAAAGATTAGATTTCTACTTTACAGCAGCTGTCAGCAACAGACACATTGGTGAACTATGAAATGGATGAATGTTCATAGTTCTACATGTGGAAATGCTTGCCTGTCACTTTTCCAGTACGGAGCAAGAGTAGACAACTGTGGTTCTTCAGATTTGCCAAGACAAACTCTTGTAATTCTTAAAACCTTAGCTGTGCTAGCTAGATCTTATGTAACTGCTAGGGCATCTGGGAGGCCATGGCTGTCTGCTTCAAAAACCCCTTTTTCTAACTTTCAACAAGGTCTCAAGGCCAGAGTTATCCCCATTCCCCCTTTCATAGTGCAGTACCAGGCTCTCTTCATACGGAGTGTATTTCACAAAGGGACTCTAGTGTGCTCAATACTTGATATTTGCCTCAAGCACCATAGTAAAAATCTTCTGTGATCAGTGGCACTTGAATCACATTTTGCTGTTTTATTGACAAATGTGGATTCATTGGCTAAAGTTAATGACACAAAAGTTCATTTATCTATGCAGTTTTATGTAAGAATGGTAGAATGATCAATCACTTGAATGTCCTGTGAATATTAATTATCATTTTTTTTGGTTTCCTGTACTTCTGAGATTGTTATCAACATTAGCTCTCTCTTCTTGTCAGTGTTTGTTTTCCTGTCAGTAGTGTTGGGCTTCATTTACATGTATCATTAAAGAAATTAATCACTGCTGTCATGCAAGAGTTGACATATAGTTCCTGCTGATGCTTGCTGCCTTTGAATCTCTTGCAGTAAAAAGGCAAGATTGGAATATTTTCTGCTTGTTAGTGAGAACAAAGGACATTTCTAAACAATGTTTGAAATGGGTTTGAGTAGTAGTGGTTCCCTTTTCTTAAGTCATTAACCTTTCTCAGATTACTTCCCCTGGCTCAATTGTATGCTTTCACTTTCATTATTCATGATTATACAACATTCTTTCAAAATTATGAATGCTTTGTGAATAAAGTTGATAATCCATGAATAAAAAAGTAACCAAAATACTATCTGTAAGATCCTGTTCATACTGGACCCTGCCCTTCATTACTGCTGCTTCTTCTTGTGTCCCTGGGCAGCATCAGGAATAAGGGACCAGGTGATGTGTTTGCACACACAGGTGTACAATGTAAACGCAGGAGGGAATATCACTACAGGCAGTCCCTGAGTTACAAATGACTCAAAGTTAAGAACAGGGGTTAGGCAAAAGCAAGTGTGACAAATCTACCCCTCAGAAGGGAAAGTCATTCCTTCTGAGAGTTATGATGTGGGAAAGGTGTCTCAACTGAAGCTTTATCACCAATCCTTATTTACACAACAAGCCAATTTTTCAAAATCCAATTATCACAGGAACAGAAAGGGAGGTGAAATCTTCTAAGAGTGGCACAGACAGCAAAACAAACACTGCAGGGCTGTTAACCCTTCCCTTCATTTAGTTTATCCAAAGCTAAATACAGTGGAATTTGGACTTATGACCATTTCAATTTGCAAGCTTTTTGAGTAACAAGCCATTGCTTGTCTGATTTTTTATTCAACATGCAAACCAGATCCAAGTTATAAGCCCCTTCCAAGATAGTGGTCGTACCAGGAGACACAGGTAGAAAGAGAGAGACCAGAGCATTGTCCTCTCCACCCACCAAAGGGCTGCTGTCACTTAGGACTGGAGCAGACAATGCAAGGGCATTGGGGGAGCTTGAGGGGAGCCTCCATGGTGGTCAGAATAGCTGAAGACGCCCCCGAAGGTAGGCCATGCTCAGAGGGAGGGAGAAAGGAAGGAAGGGAGGGGTCTTGGTGCAGGCAACTGGTTTAGTGGGCATTACCTTGAGTTTTGGAGTTGTAGTTCACCTACATCCAGGTAGAACACTGAACTCAAATAATGATGAATCCGGACTAAACTTGGCACAAATCAATATGCCCAAATGTGAACACTGGGTGTGTTTGGGGAAAATAGACCTTGACATTTGGGAGTTGTAGTTGCTGGGATTTATAGTTCATCTACAATCAAAGAGCATTCTGGACCCCACCAATGATAGAATTGGGCCAAACTTCCCACAGAACTCCCATGACCAGCAAAAAATACTGTTTTCTGATGGTCTTTTGTGACCCCTCTGACACCCCCAAGGAGTCCTGACATCCTGGTTGAGAAACACTAATATACAGGGTTGCTGTGAGTTTTCTGGGCTGTATGACCATGTTCCAGAAGCATTCCGACCATGAAAGCTTTCGACAACACAAAGTATATGCAAAATATACAAACTTTACAACTTCTTCATCCTCATTACTTGCAGCAGTATCTCCAAACCTCCATCTCTCATCAAACTCGGTATAATTACAACCTATATACTACGCCCACTGCATTGTCCACTACACTATAAATACAGTGGCTTAATTCTTTTACATGTGGTTAGGCCAGAGGTATTAACTCTGATATGACTTAGAAAATGTCAAGTAATTTCCAAATCTTAACAGGAAGGAAGAGCTGGCTGAAGCCCCTGAACCTTGTGGGACCTTGGCAAATGGGTTTAATTTGTTCGGTGAGTGAAAGTTCTAGTTGCTTTGATGTGTTTCAAATTAGTGTTCTTTTGTTGTGCATTCTGGAGATTCAGTGGTGAATAACCTCTCCAAGACACACACAGGGGAACAATAAACAATGATAATTCACAGGGAAAGATTAAACAAAGCACAAGATATTTTTAAAGACTGCCTTCCCAAACCAAGTTGGGAAGCATTGAACTTACTTGAAACTGAATAAATGAAGTTTATATCATTGTTGACTTGCTATTCAAAATTTCAATAACCTACTCTACTGAGGTCTAACAATTGGATTTAAGTTAGTGGCCCAGTTGAGTTCTTAGTTTCTTAGGGGAGGATTATCCAGTCTTTAGAAACTTTTTGTTGCTTTGAACTTTTCAGCCTTGACAATATTGCACTTTTCTGGAATGAATAGATACCAACACTTTCACTGAGGTCTCACAAAGTTCCAAGGGGACCATTACTGGGTTTTTTACATGACAGTCCTATATTCATAAGTAGGTTTTACTGATTTTAGTCTCACCTTATGTATACCCATAGAATTAGTGGAATCAATTCAATAGATCTATTCTACATGAGACTAAAAATTCAATTTAATTAATTACATGCAGTCATTTTAAAAGTAAGTGTATAGCAGGAAGGGGAAATGTGGTCCTCCAGATGTTTGATGCATTCCTATCCTCCTCAACTGTTTAATAGGCTGGCAAGAATTGATAGATCAAATAAAGTATTCCTTATTCAATCCAATTTTCTGTGTCTGGTCTTATTTCATGGTTGGTCAAAAAATGTCTCTGTATGTTAGTGTATATATGCTGAAAGTGAAAGTGAGAGATGGAAGTTGTCAATAGTTGCCCAATCAGTTCTCTATAGCAGGGGTTCTCAAACCTTTTCAGTCACTCAGCCCTTTTTGAAGCAAAAGTTTCTCATGGAGCCCCAATAAATGTGTTTTTTATTATATGTTATGTATATATATTTTGGACATGGGGGCCACATTGCATTTTAAAATTGGACAGAATGGCGGGGCCACTGGTATATGGATAGAGAGTATTTGTGTGAATATTTTTTAAAAAATGAACAAATGCCTATGTACACTTCACATATCTTGCTTGTAGTGCAAAAGAAAAAGAAAACAATACAATATTTAAAATGAAGAACATTTTTAACCAACATAAGAAAGGCAAGGGGGCAGGAAGGGTCTGGGCAGCAAAGAAAACAGTGTGGGCAGTAAGGGAAGCAGGGATGAAAGGGTCTGCACTGGAAGGATGCTGCTGCTTCTGTTTTGGCAGCTTCAAAATTTAATTTCCCCACATTTCTCAGGAGGATGAGGAAAGAGGAATTGTCGGGAAGCAGCATGGCAACACAGAGCCCCTGACTATCACTCATGGAGCCTCAAATGCTCCACAGAGCACAGTTTGCGAACCCCTGCTCTATAGAGATCCAGTCTCTTCTGCTGGACTGCACTAGCTTGCATGCAGAAGCATTAGGAATATATGTGCATTTAAGCATATGGTGCACATTTTTTCATCACTCCTCCCTGTATAATCCTGAATCAGTTTCCTTTCTACTGAACAGCCAAAGCCCAGCATGGTATAATGTATAGTGACTGTACTTGCTTGGTCATATCTGTAAAATTCACCTGGAACAGCAAATTTCAAAAGTTAAGCATAATAAAACTTCCTGCAAATCACTTTTCTCAGGGTTGCTTAATGTCTCTGTAAAGTTGCCAAGAGCAGATATGAGGTAGTTCTTGATCATGTTGGGAAAACTCCCATTGTGTTTAGTGTTTGAAAACACATAAATTAGTTGGTTTGCTACTTTGGAATTACGAAACCCACTTTGCATCCTTTCCAATGGAACATGGCAGGAAACCATTATCTGTGGAGATTAAGTGTGCTAATTAACAAAGTGCCTTATTTTGCCTTCTAGGTATGCAATTGTTTTGTTCACTGATGCATGCTGGTAAAGGGTTACTACAGAAATACAAGATTGCTGAATAATTAGCTATTTACCTTTT